TCGTTTGTTCGGAGCTGATAATCCCATTCAAAAAAGCCTGAGAACTAAGGAACGAAAGTGAAGCGCATGTCTCTCTGTCACTGACAGGCTCGTTAACGTCGTCAAGGTAACCGTGCTTCAAAGGATTTTACCTCCACCACTTTAAACAGCACATTTTAATCTAATGGAGGGAGACAACACTGATTTAACATTAGGAAGTGGATACAATATGACTACTGGCCATGACCCTTCCCTTCACACGCAACCCTGATAGACTTTCAAAATAAGACTCCGGGGACCCTTCAAATTAAAAGCCCCTACATTAAACTCATATTTTTTTTTCCAGCATATGGCTCAACACTATGGCCCAAACTCAACCACTTTTTTAAAAATGAGACTCTAGGGGTTTTTCAAAACACACCCCACAGCAAATTTCAAAATAAAAGCCTCCCATTGCCACTTCATCTACTGCCCTAATAACAGGGGAAAGAGTGATTTAATGATTGGAAAGTCATCAAGTATCACTGCTGGGTCTGACCCTTTTCCTCAACACACAACCATGCTAGACTTTCAAAATAAGACTCCAGTGACCCTACAAAATAAAAGCCTCTATATTACACTTGTGTATTAATTGATGCAAATGGATCAGCATTATGACCCAAACTCTACCAGCTTGTTTCTGTTAGACCCTAGGGACCTTTTCAAAACATACCCTGGAGTGAATTTCACAATAAAAGTCTCCCATTTACGCTCTAACACAGCATCTATTCACCCAATAACATGGAAAACAAGTGATTTCATATTTAGAAATGGATTCTATATCACTGTTGGGCATGACCCTTCCCTTGAAACACATCCATGATAGACTTTCAAAATAAGACTAAAGGGACTCTACAAAATAAAAGCCTCTTTCTTACATACACTCATTCATTGTGCCGTATGGCTCATAGCTATGACCCAAACTCAACCAATTTCTTCAAATTACACTACCAAGGCCTGTTGACCACACACCTCAGTGCATATTTCTTAATCAGGTTCTAAGATTTACACTGTAATAAAGCATCTGATAACCTCGTAACATGCAGCCTAAGCCTGCCAACGGTGCTGTCATCAACACAGCAGCTCATAACATGCAGGTTAGATTTTTTGATAAATTCAGCTCCTTAAGTTTTATTAGCTCTCTTTTTATAAGCTTCTCTCTCTGTCCTTCCTGTGCTTCTTATGGTCAGTCTTGTACTTTGGTGTGTGGATTTTCAAGCTTCTAAGGATGACACTGTTTTCTCTATGCTGATCGACTGACACATTTTAATTAATTTCACATTTTTTTTACAAGTCTTGACATTTCCACATATGATTTCAGACTTTAATACTTTTTATACATATTCAACATTTATCTTCCTATCCTTAAGCTACTCATTTTTGTCTTCAACTAGTTAAGATTCAACTTTTTTACTGTTTATGTTACTGTTTTTGCTATTTTATAAAATTTCTGCATATTTTTTCAAATTTTGGCTTGATTCTGCTCTCTTTCTGGAAAGGCATTAAGCTTTTCTGCTTGCTGTTAATTCATAACATGTCTGCCATGTTTCTGCTGTTGGCTTCAGCTACTTTTAAGAAACTAATTAGACATTTTTTTTGCTATTCCATACCATTTCAGCAGCTTTGACTTTAAATTTCAGCTTGTTTCTGCCATTTTAACCTTACAGCTTACAGTTTAGCGTACAGCATTCACACTGCATTTTCGCAGGAAATGCAACTTTTTCTAGTTGTTTTTCTGTTTCTCTTTATTATTATTATTATTATTATACTTTCCGTACGTTTTTCCGTCTCTAACTAGTTCCCCATACTTCAGCCGATTTCAACAAATTTGGTATCAAAACGTTCAGCTTCTTCTGGTCCATCCTGCTGTATTTTGTGATAACTTCAGCTATTATACTTTTTTAAATATTTAGCTTTTTATGACTTTTTCTGTCCCATTGAAATACATGTAAAACTTCAAAAATTCCACTGAATCTTCAGCTACTTTGCCCTTTAACTACTTCAGCATACTTTCAGCTAGAAACACCATTCAACTTTTAAAATGTTTCTGTATCTTTCTGCTATTACTGTTTAACTCAGCTTTTTGCTAACTTTTACAGTTTTGCTTCAGTGAAGCTTCAAACTTTAAAAATTTTTTAAGATTTTCAGATTTATAATGGAAGTCTATGGACGGAATCTTCAACTGCTAGAGTCGTGCTCTACTTTTAAGCTGTTCGTTTTTCCGAACAAATTCTTCTCAGCTCCTCATTTTTACTCATGAAATAAATTACATCAAACGTAGGGATTTTTGTCAGGATTCAGGAAATTAACCCTCATTTGTGTGGCATTTACGGTTTTCCGACTGTTTGGCCCAGACCACGAAGAAGTCCACACTTCCCCAATAGAAATCCAATGAGACTCTCTGAAAATCCGAACTGAAAATTCAAAACAAACATGACTTTTTCGTATCGCTCCATTTGGGAACTTTCGACGTAGCAACATG